GGTGCAGAGAACAGGCAAATCTCTGGAGGCAGAAAGCAGATGACACACTCCCAAGGCGATGTGATGGAGGAGAGGGGGAGGCTGCCTAAGGGCTTGGAGATGCAGTTTGAGGAAAAAGCTCTGGAGATGGACAGTGGTGATGTCTGCACAACAGTTGAGTGACCTGAATTCACTGAACTGGACACTGAAAAAAGTCATTGAAATAGCAAAATTTATACTAGTTATATTCTACTAAAAGGAAGACAAAACAGAAAAATAGTAGCGAAGTGAGCTCACATAGCCAGGGACCTGAAGAGTGAGAGCTGAGGCCCACTTAATCCTATTCGAAGATGGCACTGTCCACCTTTTCGAGAGATGCTTTGAGGTTGGGAGATGGTGCCAGCCAGTGCTGCATCAATGTGCTGGACATGGACAGCTGTAGAATCCCAATGAGAGAAATAAATGACAGCCACAAGGAACACCCACAAGGTGCACCCCAGCGTCCACAGAAGCAGGTGCACAAGAGTTCACATAACTCAGGGGTGAGTGCTGGAGGTGGGTCTTGTATCTTGGTCTTTTAAATGCACTCAGTGTGGCCAGAGCAATGGTAGCTGTCGGCACAAAACTTCACAGATGTGTGTGTATCAGGAAATATTTTGGAAATCTGCAGTTAATGCACACACATGAAGTATGAGTGCGATATTATTTTTTAATTACTTGGAGGCCTATACCTTGCATACCTTACAGACTGGGGGAAGTGGCATTTGAAGTATTCTTTTGTTTATTCCATTCTACCTAAGGTGGTTCAACAGATTCTGTTTCTAGTCTTAGGGAATTTAGCCGAGTTTAGCAGAGTACACATTATACACAAGCGTGTAGGTAAGGCAGCAAATGCAAAAAGAGGCAAATGTACAGATCACTGTGGAATAGCAGAAAGGAAGCCACTGGTTCCGGAACAACGGAGTGGAATCTTTAGAAGTGACGTTCATAGGTTCATAGAAATTTTCCAACAGGCAACAAGGGTGAGAAGCAGACATTCCAGGCAGAGGCGGATCTGGACACAGGATGATAGGGAGAGGGCAGATGTGGAGAGTGCCGTCGGCTTTCACTGTTTCAACCTGTGTCAGAACTGGACGCCAGCTTGGCATCAAGACCACCAGCCCCAGCCTGACCCCTGCACTGAGCCAGTGATAATGAGGGTGCGCGCTGTGCACAGTATCCCTTGTGATTCTTTGCACACGCAAGTGCAGAGGGCGGGAGAGCTGGGCTAGAAGGACAATCACAGGGGTGTAGGAAGCAGGTGGTGAATACAAAGACCATGTACAGGCAGCTGTGTTCAGAAGAGAGCCGGGGACGCCGCCTGCAGAAGGCACAGTAGGTGGGGAAGGCACATTCATTGTCAAGGGTGTTTTGTTTTGTGGTACCAAGGATTGAACCCAAGGCCTTTGTAATGAGCTACATTCCCTGCCCTTTGTATATTTTATTTCATTTCTTTTTTTAAAGTTAAATTTATTGGTAGAATTCAGATATACATAATGGTCACTCTCATCATGTGTAGTTTGTGCCTGTGCGTGATACATCTTGACTCTTATATTCCCCCACTCCCATCCACTCCCACCCACCTCTCTGCCACTTATTTACAAAGGCTTTGTTTCCATTTCAGCTTCTCTTGTTTCAGTTTTGTTTCCCCTCCCTTCGCTCCCCCTTCTCTCCTCCCCTTGCCCCTTCCTATTTGAATATTTACTTCCTATTTCACAGTGTCTATCACATATTTTGATCCATATTTACACTTTCAGTTTTTCACACCAGAGGTAATGTGGTATTTACACACGTCTGTCCAGTTTATTTCACTTATGAGTGTGGTCTCAAGGTGCATCCATTCACCTATAAATGAATCATTTATCCTTCTTTATGGCTAAGTATTACTCCATTGTATTTTTTTTTTAAATCTTCTTTAGCCATTCCTCCATTCATGAGCAGTTGAGCTGTTTCCAAGAATTAGCTATTACAAACTGTGCTACTATAAATGTGGATGTGCATACAGCACTGTGGCATGATGCTTTTAATTCTTTTGAGAAGATATCAAGAAAGAGAATAGCTGGGTCAAATTTCAGACAAGGTCTTGCTAAGTTGTCGCTAAATTTAGATTTTCCATCCTCCTGCCTCAGCCTTCTGGAATGCTGGGATGGCAATGGTGGAGGTGGTTTCAACGATCCGCCTCCAGGCGGCGCTGGATACTTATAAGAAGCAGTGTGCAGAGAGGAGCCTGCAGCAGGAGGACAGGAAAGCTGCGGTGGGTGGAGAGGGGTGCTGGGAGGCGGGGGTGGGGGGAGGGGTGTCTCACAGGTGTGGAGATGATGGGAACAGGGAGCAGACTACGGGCAGAGAGGGACATACGAGGACACGGCTTGCCAAAGTGTCCACTGCGGGTCCTGGGAAGCCAGAGGGCTCCTCTTGCCCACTGCTTAACTGGACAAGTGGCCGAGGCCAGCGGCTCTTCATAGGGACCGCTCTTTACTCCCACGAGTTAGCAGAGACATCTAAGGACAGACCTCCCTCCTTGAATCAAGAGTGCAAATACTTTCAGAAAGACATTCATGCTCTGTGTGCATGCATGCCTGAGCATGACTGTGCATGTGTGTGTGTGTGTGTGTGTGTGTGTGTGTGTAGTGATAGCAATGGTAGCAACCGTTTATTTATTTATTTATTTATTTTGTCTTTTTCCTTTTTATCGGTACCGCGGATCGAACTCACAACTGCCTGCTTGCAAGGCAGGGTAGCAACCGTTTATAAGCCTCAGGAGTTATGGGTGTAGCATTCGATGGAGAGTGCTGTGCACTGCCCGATCCCCCAGTAGGAAGCACCCCTTGGCCTTTTGTGTATATGCTGCCCTTCACTTGTCCTTTGTGGTGCATTTAAAGCTGTGTAAGGAAAAAACTGACGGCCCTGTCCATCATTTTTATAGCAAAAAAAGAGAAAAAGCTTATAATTTTAATTCCCAAAACTAGTTTAAAAACAGAACCCATTCACCCAGGAGTGATGTGGAAGATCCCTGATACTTGCTTCCATTTCTCTGAAAATGAAGGACCTTTAGCCTTAGCTCTGCCGTTGGAGTAGAGCAGCTCACCTGGAGGTGGACAGGCCAGGGGCTCCTTCCCACCCTGGGCTTCTGCTGACTCCAGGCTGGGTGGTTTGTGTCCGAGGGCCAGGGGGGCTATGCACTGTGTATTCAGTGACATCACTGGCCTCTGCCCACTAGATGCCAGCAGAAAGCACCCCCCCAGTATCATGACAGTCAACAGCTCCAAGCCAGGCAGGGCCATGCGTGCTTCTAATCCCAGCACTCAGGAGGCTGAGGATCGTCATGAGTTCAAGGCCAGCCTGAACTACATAGTGAGACCTTGTCTCAAGAAAAGTCTCCAAACATTGACAGATGTCTCTTAGGATGTAATTATCAGATTTAGCAAATAAAGATACAGGATGTTCCACTTGAATTCTAGATTTAAAAAAAAAATAAAAAAGTTTTTAGTATAAGTATATCCCAAATACTGCATGGGACACATGTAGACTGAAAGAATTTGTAGACCCTACGTAGCTGACAGCCAGGATCTCATCCTACCAGGGCGGACAGACGATAGTAGAGGCGTCAGTCAAGAGAATATGTGTGAGGTGACGGCATGCTGTGGGAGTCTTGGAAGTATTTTGGGCATCTGCTCCGTGCCTGGCCAGGAGGCCAGGACTCTTAAGGATTCCTGTCTTGTACCAAAGCCACCGTCACACGGAGAGGCAGGGGCCACATGGGAGTCTCACTCACCAACATCTGGCCAAAGCCACTGTACGCACCATCCCCCCTTGCTGGGACATGAGTAGCTGTGGGCTCCCAGGTTATTAGATCATCTCTCATGAGGAGCAGCCAGCTAAGGTGATGCTCGATGAAAAACTGCTGTGTGAGACCCAGACTGAGTCACTCTGGGTTTGATTTTTCTGGCGCCACAACCCTAAAAGACTGTTCCCTGAGATGCATCAAGGAACAATCATTTCCACAGTCAGTAGCAGCCAGGAACTTATTTCAGGGCCAAGATTAATGGCCTGAGTAGTCAGCCTTTGGGGAGCAGCGGTGAAGCTGAGCTCTGGGGGGTTGCCTGACATCTGGAGGAGAAGGGGAAGCAGGTCGTCGGAGAGAAGCAGGGCCTGCGTGTCTCCAGCAGGGTCATAAATCAAGGATGGGCCAAACAAATTCATCCAGGGTTGGTTTTAACAACTTAGACCACGCAGGTTCCTTCTCTTCAGACAGCCAAAATGAAATTTTCTTTGAACCTGTGTTGAAGTTAAATATCAGCTGTTAACTCTTGTGTGTTCTACTTTTGCCAAAGGAAGTCTAATTTGTATTTGGGGAAGCATCAGACTCATCCACCAGAAAAATACGTTTGTTTTTCTGGGGGCCCCTTTCCTGCCTGGCTGTCATTGGGTCACAGCTCAGGTGAACAGAAGCAGGGGGAAAATAGGGCCGAGGTCTGGCCCCAGCCAAGCCAACAGCCACTACAGGCTCGGAAGTGCCCCTTGGCTTGCCTTGGCCATCAGCACCAGCGCCTGAAAACTACAAGGTCCTGGGGAAGGGTTCAGAAACACGGGGTAGTTACCACAGCAGTGTGAGGGTAAGCAAATGGGGAAGCATGTCTGTCCGAAAGAGCATAGGGGAAGCACCTCAGGGCAGGACACTTTGTGTCTCCACTGTGACTCCAAGCTGTCGCAGGTGTCTCTCCTGCCTCCTCCCCTCTCCCACTGGATTGGGCTCACCAGTTCTTCTCCACCACTGGGAGCTCTCCTAGTGGTCAGGACTCGAGGGGGCTGGCAGAGGACTGGTGGTCCTGGTTCCACCGCAGGTACACTGTTCCATCCCAGAATTCCACAGGCAGCGTTACTGGGACCAAACTGCTCATAGAAGGTGAGTCAAAGGCTCAAAACAGCAAATGAGGACCAAAAGCGGTAAAGAGCTAGAAGATTTGAACAAGATCACAAACTTGGCCTGCTGGGGGAGACATAGGCCCAGCCCTCACCTTTATTATTAGTTGTGGAACAATTCCAAACATGGGGCACGTGGAGCTATGGCACAAAGCAAGTCCCAAGACAGTTCAGACGGTTACCAAGCATGTGCTCTTATCACAGGGAAATTAAGTTAGAAATCAGCTGCTTTAAAACTCCATGCCCAGATGGTGGTGCATACCTGTAAATTCCAGCTATTTGAGAGGCTGAGGGAGGAGGGTGGCAAGTTCAAGGCCATCTTTCGCAACTTAGATCCTGTCTCACAGTAAAAAATTTAAAAGGGTTAGGGATAAGATCACTGGTATGCATAAGGCCCTGGGTTCAATCCGCAGTACCCAAAAATAATTCCATAAATGTAAAAATAAGGAGCCATAGTAGGTATGCTTTTCCTCCCCAGTACTGGAGATTGAAATCAGGACCTTTTCACATTGAGCTACGCTGTCTCTGTCTGTCTGTCTGTCTGTCTGTCTGTCAGTCTGTCTGTCTGTCTCTCTCTCTCTCTCTCTCTCTCTCTCTTTCTCTCTCTCTCATCTCACTAAGTCACCAGGCTCCCCAAGATACCACCACACCCACCTTCAAAAGTTACCTTGGAATGTATAATACAAACTCTGATTGCTAACGGAGTCTGTGAGTTTTTTTATTAACTAAAGTAGGATTTGTTGAGTCACTACTCTCCGCCATGTTGGAAACAGAAAGGAACAGGAAATAAACAACAGGAAATAGACTTGAGTTTCTCAGAAATGGACAGGACCTGACCATGGAGGAGAGCAGAGGTGCCCCACACCAGTTCTGGTTGGGAAGAGAGGAGGACAGCTGAGTGCCACTGCTAGGCCCTAAAGGCCTAGAGGCCTAGAGTTCATAGCTGCTGGTAGTGAACTTGAGGAACTTGAGGCGATCTCAAAGGTATATCCTTAGTGGAGAGACAGTAGGTACGAGCAGCCAGATCTAGCTCCAAAGTGCCCAGACATACCTTTCCAGAGCCATGCGTTAGTCAGCTGGACTCAGAGGGAGGTATGACGTCCCCTCGCTTCAGGCACGGGACTGGCGGTGACAGCACCTAGGTCTTTGTGGCTGTAGTTTTCCCACTTGTTGGATGGAATTTCTGTGATGTAAAGGACAAAACTCTAAGAGTGGCTGTGAGCCTGGTCATGAGTGGAGCAGCTGCGTCACGATCAGGTGTGAGGTGTTTTGTTCTGGGTCAGAATCCACAGGCAAGGGACGGGGCTAGAAAAGGAACAGAGTGGAGTGTGATGTCGGGGCACCAGCAGTGTGGAGCACACATTGGACCTCAGCTGTCACAGTGCTGACTGTGTCAGGGTCCCCCCTCTACCTGCTCCCCTCTAGGGAGAATATCTTCCAACTGGAATGGATTCTGAATTAGTCTATTTCCTCCCCCTGAGACACAATATGGAACACCCACAGCTTAGAGGAGAGGTTTAATTTGCTCACAGTTTCAGTCCATGGTCAGCGGACTCCAAGGCAGGGACAGCCCAGCAGTGGAGCCCAGCTGCTCTGCTTAGAAAGTGGGGACACCACCAGGAAGGAAGGGCCAGGGGCCACCCAGGGCACCCCAGCTATGCCTCCATGGCCACCTAGGTGCACCCAGGGACTTACTGCATCTCTTAATGCAATGAAGTTAGCATGTCAGGATTAACTGGCACCAGTTCCATTAGAATATTCATGCTGGATCACAGAAATCTACTGGGAACCAACAGAGCTTCTGTTAATTGTGAGCAAGAACATGGACATAGAGCAGAAAGAAAACTCAATCTAGAACAGATTGGGGGTACCAGGAACTTGCCTTTTCAAGTCTATTTTAAGGACAGCAACTCTGAAAGGAAATTGGCTCAGGAGTTGGTCTGTGGCATATGCCCCATTACCTTGTCCCTCGCCCTCTGCTAACTCTTAGACTCTTGTGTCACAACTAACTATAGTCTACCTGGTGTTTCATTTTGTTGTTTTGAAAGTGTTCCATTTATTACCATAGATCTATACACAAAGAGACTTTCTTATAACCGAGGCATAAGAAAGATCTGATCTGATCTTAGGATCAGAGAGAAATTTAGTCTGGAATGAGCTAAAGATTCTATTATTTCATCTTTCTACCTGATACTAGATTTATCAATATTTATTTTGGTTGCTTTTCAGCCTCTTAAGACTTAATAGTTCATCAGGTGAACAGAAGTGATTTGTTCTTATTCATTCATGAAATCAGCTTATACAAGAGTGCATATAAATACAAATCTGTGTTTTTATATGTAAAAATAAATGTCTACATTTCATTTTAAATAAATACTTATATGAGCAAAACTGAAGATGAAAGTTAATGTACCTGTAAATGTTGTAGATAATAAATATGAATATACATAATGTGTATCTATAAATTGATAAAGATGGCTTTATATGCCTTTATGGCATGAGCTTCAGTTGTATGTGGTCAAAATTTGGCTATCTTATAAGTTCTTATAGAATAAATTGGCATTGAAATCTTTGATAAAATTTTAATTGATACTCATTATGTAAGATTAATGCTGTATTATTGTTACAAAAGAAAATCTCAAAGAACTTTTGTTTGAAAAACAGGACCGATGTACACACAGAGTCTGGGATCATGTTTTCTTGAACCCTTGGGCTTTTTCTCCCAGCGGTTTTCTCACACTACCTGTGAATCAGGCAGATGGGCTGCAGCAGGAGCTCCTTGTGGAAAGCTCCATTCATCTGCTCTTTACCTATTTGGCACACTGACAGATCTTCTAGAATAAGGGCTGGGGATTTAGCTCAGTGGCATAAGTGCCTGCTTGGCATGAGTTTGATCCCCAGTACCAAAAAAAATAAATGAATAAATAAATAAAAACTTCTTTTAAATCTTCTAGAATAAATAAGTTCATTAATTTGTGAGTTTCAAAAGTCACCAGGAAATCTTCAAAAGTGTGTGCAATTCAAATTCACAAAGTAGAGGCCAGCGTGACTTCTGCTGCCAGCCACTCACTCTGTGCATTTCGAATGGCAGCACAGAGCTCAGAAACAGAAAGAAATGGAGGTAGGCTGTAGTTCAGTGCAGAGCATTTGTTTCACATGTGTAACACCTGAGTTCAATTCCCAGCACCTCAAAATAAAAGAGAGAGAGAGAGAAGGAGAAAAAGAAGAAAGAAAGAAGTTGAAACAGAGAAACTAGCAGGAAAGTTGGCTCTTAGAGATGGATAACTGAAGGATGGGCTAGAATTTAACCCAAAATTGTTACAAAAGAGCATATGTATAATTGGCTCCCACTTCCTTCAGGGCTGGACCCTGCTGATTGTTGTGATTACCATTGCACTGTTTGTCACAGCTCTTGGAAGTGTGGCCTGTTGCAGGCAGTTCGAGTAGCGACAGGCCTCTGCCCCAGGAACCCGAGGCTGGAAAATGACAGGGGTTATAGGCTGAGAGCGAAGGTCTGTGAACATCACTGTCTTTTCTAGAGGTGTCAGACCCTTCCTCACTGATACTCATAAATGTGCACTGTGTTGTCACTGTTTATATTTGTCACCAGCAAAATCAACACTAGTTTTGTTCAGAAAAATGCAAATACCAAACACTTACACAATTATAATTCCAGGGTTTTTTCCTCTCTCTTCTCTCATGAATGTATGGGTCTCAAAAAATTAAAGACTTCCAATTCTGAAAAGAAATGTAATATAAAGTGATACAAAACTCAGACCTTTCCAAAGTAGTGTCAAAATTGAGTCTCCATTCACCCCTATCCTGAGTAACCACTGAAAACAGCTGAGTATATTTTTTTCTTCCATTTGTTTCTTAGCTCCAATTATATATTTTATATGTGTATAAAAATGAAATCACTACTTACATTGATTGGAAAAAAGCTTTTCTTTTTTCACTAGCCAATGTAACTTGGACATTTTCCAAGTTAAATCAGGAAGATGCACCTTATTCTTCCACACTGTTTACTTGAGGGTCGTTGCATGGCTACACCCAAATTCAGTTAACTGTCTCCTGTGCACAAACAAATACATATCTTTATTTCTAAAGATTTTATTTTTACAAATTAAGAGGAAGATGGAAAATCTTTGCTGATATCAGTGGCAGGGATATCCAGCTGCAGCTGGTTAAGTCTTCCAGTCACAGATGACACTAGATGTATGATGGCCAGGTGTCTAGCTAAGGATCAACATGTCCTGCTGATTACATAGTATTTGCAGTTTAAACCAATGGCTAAGAGTATAAAACTTTATTTTTGTAGGAGACAATCAGAATTTCATCGATTATCATTCCCTTCTAAGTTTTTCTCACTAGGGAATATGGGTTTGGAACCACCTCCCCCCTACTTTCTATCTTAGGGATTAAACACAGGGCCTTTTCACTGGCTACATCCCCACTATTTTAAAAAAAACATTGGAGTTTTTTGAGTCTCCAGCCCTTATTTTTATTTTTTTGACACAGTGTCTTGCTAAATTGTCCAGGCTGGGCTTAAACTTGAGATCCTCCTGCCTTATCCTCCCAGCATGTTAAATATAGCAGTATACCACTGTGTCTGACTTAAGCTACTTTTCAAGAACATTTTAGTTAGCCAAGTGCTTTGTGAATAAAAATCACAGACAACACATAGGTGATTGACTTCTTAACTATTAAAAATTGATCCCCCATACAGTAAAGTTTTCCTCTATTTTTTCTCGTTTTCATTCGTGTTAAAGTTTTCTTTTAGAACATTGGAGCTTGTGTGTTGAACCTAAAATCTGCATTCTTGTCATAGCTGATATTCAAATGCAAATGAGTCAAGTAGATACCAAGCCCCCAAGGTATCCAGACAGAGCACAGAAAAGTGCAAAACCCAGCACTTTGCTTGGGTCCAGCTTTTACCTCAGCACCTTGAAAAACAGGCAGCCAGTCTCAGCAGTAACAGAGCACAGCAGCCTAGTTCTGCTTATTATTCAAGGCACACAATGCGCTCATTAGCTCCACACTGTGCGACTGAGCAGGGACAGCTTTGTGTGACAGCCTAGTGGGGGCCTTCCTCACACAGAATTTACATCATCCGTACATAAATCCCCAGCAGGACATTTTAATGAGAATTTTAACAAAGTCCAAAGAACAATTAAAAGCATCAGCTTTGCAAGAATTATTTTTTAAGACCCAAAAAGGGCATGGTGCCAACAAAAAGGGCTCATTAAAAAGAACTCCTTTTACCAACTGCAGACAAGAATTCAAAAAACAGCACAGTTCTCCAGGTGCTTACAGCTTGGCTCTGTCCTTCCCTCCGCTTTCTGATATTTGTCCTGTAGCCTTTGTGGAGCTCGTAAACTCAGAATTAAGCTGTCTCTCTAAATGGGGCTCAGAGGTGTCCTAAGGACTCGTGTCTGAGTGGGGATGGTGACCAGCATTTCCCCTCTGCAAGCTCTTACCTCTAAACACCCACCTTCTGCTTGCTGTGTGACTTGCTTCCCCACTGGATCAACATTACGTGCGTAGTCAAACTTACAATCTTACTGGCTGATTACAGGTACGTCCCACATTGTATCCACTTTGTGATTTTGTACCCACTCCATGATTGCTCTATAAAACCCACTTTCAGGTCCCCTCTTGTCTCTCAGGAGATCTCATATTCTTAACATCTGTTGTTCCTTAGAATTCATTCTTTAATTTCAGGGAACATGAGTTCAGTTTCCTAAAAGGTTGAGGGTTAAATTCTTTATTCTGTCATTTAGAGCTCCCACCAAGACAATTGTGAGGAGGTGAGAATTTGCTTTAGTTTCATGGATTCTAGATTGTGACCCACTTAGGTAAACAGAATTGGCAGCCTTACTTGTCAATTGCTTACCCCTTGGATTTTTTTTTTCTTTTTTATTGGTACCGGGATTGAACTCACGACTGCTTGCTTGCAAGGCAGGCACTTATGCCGCTGAGCTAAATCCCCAGCCCCTACCCCTTGGATTTTTATGCCTTGTCTTTTTTACATGTTGCTATTTGTTGAAATGATGATAAATTTAAATTGAGAACATGGAGAGATTATAATGTTTCTTTGATGAGATATATTACTTTTACAGACAAGGTCTTGTATTCCTGTTTTGAATATGCTACATTTGGACTTCCTGGCTAACGAATTTATTGGTGCTCTTTGCTTGACCTTTCTGACCTGTTTTGACTGTTGTGATTTGTTCCCTTATCTTAGTAGCCCTAGGGAAAGTAATGTTAGAAGCGCTCTAGTGGACTTGGATACTAACCAAAATATAAATTCACAAAATGCTATAAAATGGGTCTTTTTGTGAAATCTTGTTTATTTTTAGGAAATATACATGCCTATTAGTAAATCACGGGACTCCAACTGTCAGTTAAAAGGCAGTTGTTCTTAAAACATGGAGGACGGTTTTCCCTGGACAACCTATTGTGTCAGTTTCCTCTCAGATCTGACCTCCCACTGGTGAGGGTCACTCTTACTTCCTGAGATCCCCTACTGTCACCTGAGGCTGAGGGTGATGACACCTGGGAGAACTGTCTCGGTAACTCCTGCAAGAAGAAAAGACTCACCTCTATCCAAGGTGATCTCTGACAGGCTGCAAAGTGCTCCAGCCACTTCCAATTTGCTCTTTGAATTTTTCCCCTCTCACTCTCTTTCAAAGCATTGAAAAGCAGTTGATTAAGTCTCCGGATTATTATTTTAATCTCGCTAGCCATGCCTCCTTCTTTACACATGACTGTTACAGCTGAATCAGTTTTAGCTTGCACTTTTGGAAACACATGCTGGAGTCAGGGTGTGTTTCCCGAGAAGACAAGAGTGTGCGTCCATCAGGGTGAGCTTTCCGACCGAACCTGCCTTCTGGCCACTGTTCAGATAGCAGCCACGTGCTGTGGAGCAGGTCACTTCAGGGACACTTTGAGGGCACATGAAAACAAGGAATTCTAAGGAATGTCTAGTTTCCTCCTAGTTGTTTTTGGAAAACTCAGTGTCAAATTCTCTTATTCCTTTAGAATGTATTCTCAAGCATAAAAACTATTTAACTTCACATATTGAAAAAGAGCTGTCTAATATTTTTCTGTGCCCCCAAGTGGTCTGCCTACGCCCTAGAAACAAAATGTAATATGGCGAGCAGTATTGATACTATTTTATAATTAAAATCTTACTGTAAGAGAGAGGGAAAATGAGTTACCTTATTTTAAGACTTTTTTTGCATGATGAGAGAATCCTTTCTTGTGTTCAACATATAAATACAACCCACAAGGAAAACAGACACCTCTGGCCATTAATCAGACGCATTTGCTGTTACTGAGCCTGAGGCTCCCTCTGCCCTCTGGACTCTCAAGGCTGAGGCTTCCAATTCAACCTTAAATGAAGCCTCTACTGGGCTGACACCATCCCTATCTAACTTTGTTCAAGATCCTCAAGGACAATATCTCTGTAGAGGTGAGTAGAGTGTACATGGAAAGAACAAAGACCTTTTTAGGAAGGGATGGATCAGAAGATCCTGTCACCCAGTTGGGTGACTGGTGTCTGTCTAGATTTTATGGGATCAGGTGATACCAATTAGAAGACCCTGCTTATCCCCTGGGGAGGTATGTGGGCTTGGTCATTCTGTCTTTATCTTGAGGCCTGGCCTTCAACCTGTGCACCTTCAGCCATGGTTGTAATTTTACCCTGGGAACCTGATTCCCAAATGGTACTACAGAATCTTGAACAAGTGCTTCTGAATACCCAGCACTAAAAGGCAGGGTATGGCCCTGGGAGTGCTTTTACAGCATCCGGGACCTGCTCAGCAGTCTGCAGGGTACCTGAGTCATGGATTAGACAGCAGCAAAGGGATGGCCTGCACGCCTTACAGCTGTGGCTGTAGGGGCTCTCCTGGTACCAGAGGCCTCCAGGCTGACTTTAGACAAAGATCTCACTGTATATACTCTTCACAGTGTGGGGGCGCAAACTCGGCATGCCTGACATCTAGTAGGTTGGGAGTGACACTGATTTCTCCCATATCATTGTGACTGATGCATACAGATGTTCAATAAGATTACAAAAGAATGGACAAGAAGCTATCGAAGGTTTCATGAAACATTAGGAAAATTCATGAAAAAATCATGTTGAGATTCCACCAATTACAAAGGGTAAGGTATGTGCATATTGTATGTGTTAGTGGGAATGGAACCCAGGGCCTCTGGACTGAGCTACATCCTCAGCCTTTTTGATTTTTTTTTTTTTTTTTTTTTTTTTTTTTTTTTTTTTTTTGAGAGAGGGAGAGTCTTGCTAAGTCATTAAGTTAGCCAGGTTGGCCTCAAGCTTGTGGTTCTCCTGCCTCAGCCTTCCCAGAATGCTGAGATTACAGGAATGTTGTCCCCAAAAGAGCAGAGTAGACCCAACAGCCTCAGGCTGACCCATGGAAGTCACCTGCCATACTCAAAAGGAAGGCAGGAATAGGGGTACAGTCCTTTCAGGGTAAGCAGATGAGATGCATGTGATTCTTCCTGTGTTGATTTTCTCGGAGAAACAGCCAGTAAGGTCAAGGACAAAGAGTGGAACTGGCTGCTGGAAACTTGGAGAAGGACAAAAGGTAGAAAGTAGTTTTGGAGACTGAAAGAAAATAGATGCAGATGAGTGGAGAGAGCAGTGAGTAGATAATGCACCCTCTGTGTACAGGGAGACCACCACACGCGTGTGTATACACGTACGTGTGTGCCTACCTGCACACCAAGCAGAAAGGGATAATGGGAGGGGACTTCTGCTCTTGGCCTTGAGGACTCATGTCTCCTCCAGATGCTTGCTCTCTTGGTCATGCAAGCGACAAATCATCTTACAGCTCTCCAGGGGATGTGGTGCATGCAGACTACCTGAATTTTCTTCCCAGAAAGCTCTATAAATGTCAAGCTTTGCTCGCAAATAAAATTTCATTTCCTATAATTCATCTATACCTCTATAAATCTCTTCTGTTTCCAATTAGATTTGACATGCATCATTATTTCTCATTCAGAACCACATTTGGATTTTGCTTTAGACCATTTTATATTCATTCAAATCCTGGCCACCTTTTCTTCAAAAAATTTTTATTTGCAACCTGTTGTGGTTGTTTTTATTCTTTTATGTCTAAAATGTCCTATTTTCCTAATATTGAGATATTAAATCTTTGCCTGTGCAAGGTGAACATTCTCTTGACCTAAAGTGTGATGTGTAGGAGTAGGCAGCACAGTGGGTGCCCTTGGAGAAAGCGCTCTCCCACTGTAATTTGGGGACTTGGTTTCACCTAAGCCCACATGCACACCCCACCTAGGCTTTGATCCTTCCTGGCACTAGTACTGAGGCTGATCAATGACTTTGCGATAGTTAGCCTTGACTAAAAAGGTGCAGGTGCAGACACCCACAAGTGCTTTTCCCCACGGGCCATCTGGGGGCGCCTGCCTCACTCTCCCCGTCCTCCTTTCCCAGGGTGGAGCTTCAGCATGGGCTCGGCCTACCAGTTCCACAGCTGGCGCGTTTTCGTCATTGTCTGCGCACTGCCCTGCATCTCCTCGGTGGTGGCGCTCACGTTCATGCCCGAGAGCCCGAGGTTCTTGCTGGAGGTAAGTTGGTCCTACAGAGCCTCGCCCAGCCACGAACGTTGGGAAAGGTAGCCGGCTGGTGCTAGGAGCCAGGTTTCCTCCTGGGAGAGGAGAATCTCCTTCCCGCTGTGGAACGGTGAAAGCCTTGGCTTCACGCAGCTGTGCTCTAAGCAGTGCGCTTCCAGCTGCCTGCTGGCCAGAAATAAATCCCTCCTTAGTCAAGTAACTTTTCGCTCAAAGAGTGTGGCTTCTTGCTTCAAAACTGAGAGTTTCCAGCCACAGGTTCTGCTCGTGGCAAGAGACTTGTCGCTTGCACTGCTCACGTAGTCAGTGCTGCCCGTGTGTCCCCAAGGGAGGCAGCTGAGGCCGCTGCACAGCCGCACTGCACGGGTGTGGACGACGCGAGGAGGTGACTGCGGACAAGCAGGCGTCACTAGCAAACGGGGCCTCACTGTCTGCCCAACATGTCTTTAGGTTGGAAAGCACGACGAAGCCTGGATGATCCTGAAGCTGATCCACGACACCAACATGCGCGCACGGGGACAGCCCGAGAAGGTCTTCACGGTGAGTCTTGCGCCGGCCAGCTCAGTTGCGGGGCCTGGCGGTACTGTCAGGGCTCTGGACTTCACTTCCACGTCTGCAAAGTGATCGTAATATTCACAAATGTGTAAATTATATAATCATACAACGCATGCTAGTGGGGTTGTGGGAGGGACTCACGAGATAATTATGGGAAAAGCACTCAGTAAATAGCAGTATTTAATGTGTACTCACACCCGTGCGGGTACAGAGGTCTGTGTGCAAGCAGTGTGCGCGTAAGCCGGCAGGGCCGCAATCAAAAGACCAAGATGAGGTTGTAATTTCGGGTTCTCTACTCCCACCTAGAAGCCCCAGTTTACCTGTTCTTGCTTGCTTACGGGTACCACTGGGAGTCGCCACTAGCGGGCTTTTACAGCATGGGGTCCTCAGGGTGACTGCTGCCCCTAATTCAAGATCTCCAAGGGGCCAGCTCAGGACTGTGCGCTGTGGAACTGGAACCTGGGCGCTGGGCTTCATCCAAAGGCGCAGACCAAACAAACTCCACTGAAAACGCTATGATTTGAGGATAAAAACATATACTTTTTTTTGAAAAACTACTTTTAAAAGTTCCTCCTGGAGACTGGCCATTTAGCTCAGTAGAAGAGTGGTCATCTAGCATGCATGCAGCCGTAGGTCTAATCCCTAACATTACTCACCAGACACACCCCCCCCAAAAGCCTCCAGATTTTAAACTGGATACATGATATTTTTTGGAAAATAATATTTTAAATCTTTTGATGTATATAGAGTCATGCAATTAGATTCACACTGTTTTGCCTAAAATAGATTTAGAAGAACATGCATCAAATGTAAGGGGACCTGAGTAAGATCTCAATGGCTTAAATAAATCAGTTGTATTTGGTAAAATGTGTGAAAAGGGCCTGAGTAAGTAGCTCCCTGTCATCTTATTTATTCATTTCATTTTTATTAGGAAACACATTTTTCATATGGTAATTACAGGCTTTAGTCTGGCCTCTGACCTCTATCTAAATTACCACATTTTTTAAAGTACTAGAGATCAAACCCATGGCCTTGTGTACACTAAGCAAGATTCTGCACTGAACTGTAGCCCCAGCATTTTTAATTAGCAGATTTTTAATTAGCAGAATTTTGTATGCAGTAAAATGAAGAAAGGAAGATCGGCAATGGACGTTCTCCATTAAAGACCTAGAGGTCCTTGGACAGGTCCTTTTTTTTTTTTTAAGTGAATGCACAGTAACAGTAACATTATTAAAGAGTATTCTCAAATTAAAAGCTCATAAGGGTGGAGGAATCTGAAGACATTGTGCAGATACCTCAGGTCACTTAATTCTTCTCAGCCAGTGGAAGACAAACCCTTTGTCCACTTTATTGAATATCTCTTAGAAAGGGGCTCTGAGGGGGTCCTCAATGCCCTGCTTACCTGCCTTTCATTCCAGAAGATACGATCACCAAATCCACTCTTAAGCATCCTTGTTAATGTTATTATATAGCATTGGCAAATGGGTTAAACTTTGTAATATAAAAGGTAGAGGAGAATAAGGTAGGAACATTCCAGAGAATGGATGGATCATCTCCAAGTTGTGAGTCTACCGTGACAAATTTATCCCTTCTTTTCTGCTATGCATACAACATGATGATGTTTCATGCATTCCTCAAAGGTACCTTTTTAAATCTCTTCATGGTCTGTTCTTACCTTAAATGTTTTCCAAGACTTCATGTCAGCTAACTTCTATTTCAGCCCTATGCACTCTCCTCAGCTACTTCTTGCATCTTTCTCCTAATGCACAAATCCCTGAGGTCCCCATGTATATATGGAAGGGCTTGTGACATCCCCCTAGAGTCTCCCCCAGTGGCCCTTTAAAAGCAATATCACTAGCCAGGTATGGTGGTGCATGCCTGCAACCCCAGCACTTGGGAGTCTGAGGCAGGGAGATCATTGTGAGTTTGAGACCAGCCTGGGTTACAAAGTGAGCTCAAGTCCAGCCTGAACAGCATAGTGAGACCCTGACTCAAAGAGACTTTTAAAAAAATGCTATATCACTAAATCTGAATTTACCACCTTAAAAGTCCCCTAAACTCTGCCAGGTACCACCAGCACCACCCAAACTGGAATCTTGAAATTCATATTATTATTTATTTATTTCCTTTATTCTCATTATAGACAGGAAATGATCATGTGCTCTTCTATTTCCTAAGTACTGGCTGTCACTGTCTCTCATTTCCCACCCTTCCTGTCACTGATGTGGTTCAGTCCCCAGCATCCACTGCCTTCTGACTTTGTGCTATTTTCTAGACTCCTAGGCTCCTTGGAGCCCCTAGTGCAGTTTTCCCTCATTCTGCTAGATGTCTGCATGGTATCCCTGTGTTCTGGAGCGCCCTCCAGGAGGCTCAGACACTCAGCACGTAGCACAGTGTTCTTCTGTCTGTCTCAGCACGGATCCTGAGTCCTGAAGCCCTGCCTCCCACTCCAGGTCAAGGGCCCCTGAGCAGCCTCCCTGCCCACGGGGGCTCTCACCTCACCCAATAGATGCCTGGAGGGTGTGGTGGTTCTGTATCTGCTTTGCTCATGATGCCAGTGAATAAACAAGCAAATGGCTGCGAGTGCTGACATGTAAGCTTCTCAAAAGTAAATGTCGTATGGCAAGAACACTTCAGTGACACAAACAGCAACAACCTGAGTGTCAGGAAATCATCCATCATTCTGGGCCAACCATTTGGAATCACCTCCTTCACTTAGAAATGCTTTTCATTTGAAAATCCCATGGATCCCTGTGTCCTGTCTGTCAGAAGCCAGTTTCAGCACCTGGCTTCTCACAGGAAAGCTGCTGTTTAGGGTTTGGTCTGCCACATCCAAAAGGGGTAGCAGGAACACATTTCCATAGCTTCTCAGAGTGGTCCAAGCAGTAGTCATTAGCAGGGAAGGCTGACCACGTGCAGAGGCCCTTCTTCCTTTCTGTTCCCTTTGCAAGCTTTGTCTCTGTGTTGAAAGCACCATTTTGCCTGCCTTGTGGTTCAGTTCCTTAGTGAAAGGAGGCCACCTCAAGCCATAGACGCTGCTCTGCATGCTGAACCTGTCCTTTAGTCCCTTCAGTAGCCAAAGAGTCGCACTGATGCTTGTGATAGAAGGACGCTTGCTCACTGCTTACATCGTGTCCCCGGTGGCACCCGCTGGCTGGTTGCTGTGAGCTCAGTGGTGAACGGGTTGGAAGGGCCTTTGTGGTGCTCTGTGAAGAATAGCTGGGCAAGAACAAGTTTAGTGCTATGGTTAGAAGCCACATTCATCGACTGTGTAGGTTCCCAAAAGTGTGCACAGCAATGTTGGTCCTGCAACATAATTCCAAGCCCGGAACTGGTATAGGTGCAGGTTTCCCCCGTATGTGTGTCATGGTGGTGGTGATTTGGAGCAGGTGTCTCCATCTCTAGCATTTGCTGACCTCCTTGTCTCCACAGGTGTCTCATCACTCACTTTTCACCCAATCCTTTCAGGTGCTGTCTGAACCTGGAGACCCATTCCAACAGCCTTGCATGCGTGGGTAGTGATTAGCAAACACTACTTACTTATTGAAGCCAAGTTTTGCTCCTTCGCTCACATTGTGAGCTCCAACTTTGCACCCTCTTGTTCTCTACAGGTGAACAAAATCAAAACCCCTAAGCAAATAGATGAGCTGATTGAGATTGAGAGTGACACTGGAACTTGGTACCGGAGGTGTTTTGTTCGGATCCACACCGAGCTGTATGGAGTAAGTACTGAGTCCTGCGGGACCTATGTGTCAGCTTCGCTCAGGCACAGTCAGAAGAGGCGCTACAGTGACAGTCCATGAGCAGGCTCCTCCCCGTGCCCCCAGGATGCTTGGCTACCAGGCTGGGATGGGCAGAGGGCTGGATTGCTGGCAGCCTGTGTTTGGGAGGGCAGGCAGCGGGCCAGGAGCTGATGATGGCGGGCTGCCCCAGATCCGTGGACCGCACCGAAGCTGAAAGTGACCACACCAATATTTTGGTTCCCTGTGGCCTTGTGCTTTTACATTTCAACCTAAAATAAATTCAGTCCAAGAAAAAGTCAGTTTTTTAATAATTTGATGGAAAGAGTGAGGTTGTCTAACTGTGAGAAACTAACTCTCTAATATTTCACAGATTTGGTTGACTTTTATGAGATGTTTCAACTACCCCGTCAGGGAAAATACAATAAAGCTTACAATCGTTTGGTTCACCCTGTCCTTCGGGTAAGTGATATTTAAATTCTTAGGGGAGTGAGCTCATGCAATGTCACCTCCTAACTCCCAGCCACATCGCTGGTTTTCCTTACCCTGCTTGGTGTTGTTCACCCGCAGGGAGAGAGTGCTTTGTTCTGTCACAATTTGTTGACAGTAACAGTTCTTCTAAACCAATGATGCTATTTCTATTAAAAACATGGTCTGGCAAAATAAATGGCATTGCAAAGTCACTATGGGCCTGGGTGGTTGACCCGTGACTGTCCATTGCCCTCCTCCTCAGCAGTGTCTCTGCTGTCCTTCAGCAGCCAGGCAGTCTCCACCCCAGCCCCCACCATATGCTCTCACCTCCTTCCTTAGCAGCATCCACCCCATCACCTTTTTTCTTTTTTAATTGCGACCCCTCTACCCTCCCTGTTCCTTGTTCAGCTTTATGATTCTTTGCAGCATTTTCCACCTTCTGCAGTGCAAAAGGCTTCTTTATTCCAACAAACAGTAGCGCTCTGGCTTCTGGCTCTGGAAGCTACCCGAGTACAGGAGTGTAACTGCTGCCCACTGGTGCGCATTCCTGGCATGAGGTAGCAGTCACGAAGCAACTGCTCCCAAGGGAGTAAAATGCCATGTATGTCCTTTAAGAAGAGAGGAGGCAGGGAGACAAGTTTAGGATTTTCTTTTCTTCTCTAATGGTGGACATCTCTTAGAATGTGTGTATATAACTCGACTGTTGCCTATAAAGACAATCAGATGGTTCCCTACTCAGTTGGGCCGGCAGGCTTCTCAGCATGTATCCTGCAAGCTCTGTCTCCTAAACTGAAGCAGGTGAGTGATCAGAGACCACTTTTCCCAGAGCTGGCTGAGGTGTTGCACCAAGAAACGAGGGCACTCCGTGTCCTGCATGCACGGCTTGCTGTGTGACCACTTGGCTGTGTGGCATGGATCCTCATTCCAAGTTGAGAGAGTTGGTGTAAATATCTAAAGTTGTTCTCATACACCATTTAGAAGTTCCATGAAGGGTGGCCTGCAAACAAGCACATAGAAGGTGTGATTGTATGCTAAACATGGGGTTAGGGACCCAGAGGGCAGACCTCTCTCCAGGAGTAAAGGCTTACATGATAACCAGTGCTCAGGGTTTACTTGGTCAATGTATTCATTTTTGGCCAGATCTGAAGTTTTATCATTTTCTTCTTGCCATCTCCCCAAAACCTCAGCTGTGCCAAATGTCTTGGGTGTTCAGTAAATGCATAATAGAGTAAGAATTAGCAGTCACTGACGGTGGCCTCTCCAGTGTGGTATGCTTCCTCTGTGGGTGCCACTGGCAAGTGTTTGCCCTCTGTGTGACCAGAACACCATGCACAGCTGTCGTTGCACCCCTGAGTTACTGCTTAGTCACCTCCTTGTCAGAATTAGGTGATAAAATGACTTGTGCTGTCCTGTGAGCATCCTTGGGGTACAGGATATCTTGTACCCCTTTTAACCTCAGCAGTCGCCTGGAAGGTGGCACTGTAGCATCATTCCAGTGTGAGAGGTGGGTGACACAGGTTTAGCTAACTGGCCTGAGTTCACAGAGCTGACAAGTGATCAAACTCCATCTTCCCCTAGTGGCTGTGCTCATGACCACTTCGTTGCTTGTGCAGCAAATAACAAGCCTCCCCAAGCTGCAGGTGCTTCTCTCCCAGGGTCTTTAATTTATCCCATCTGGATGAGGCCAAGTTCTTAGACTTTGTCCAGAGATCCCACTTTTGGAACTACCATGGTGCATTAGCGTGGCAGTGTTCAGTAGGAATAGAAAAAGAAATATAATGTGAGTCACATGGCAAAAAGCCAAGTAAAAGGAAACAGGTGAAATGAATGTTAATGTATTTTTACTGAACTCATTATGTCCAAAGAGATATGATTTCCACATAAAACCAATATGTAAATTGCTAGTAGTTGGTTTTACGTTGTTTTGGGGTGTCTTCTTTGGAGTGTTTCTCAGGGACAGCACCTCTACATTTGGACTGACCACATTTCAGCGGCTAAGTAGGAGCCTGTGGCTGGTGGCACTGAACTAACATAACAACACAAGAGCGTGAGGAATTACATTCTAGGGGTCGAAGGGCAGACAGTGGAAGTAGTCTGAATTTTCAAATAGTAACCTGAACATCCTTTCCTTCAGCCTTGAACCATCTTGGAAAGTGGGGCTCTGCACCCTACTGGCAGGATCACAGTCATGTAGGAAACCAGAAAGTTCTCCACTAGCAACAGAGTTCACTCTGTAAGGCTCTCACCCTTCTTGGGTCCCAGGGGTTTGTACCCCTAGATTAAGAGGAAATGAGGGCTTCTCAGTGCTGCCTGATTAGTAGAAATAGCCTGGGGCTGAGTATCTTGTGGCTCAGTCCATTTCTGCAGCTATAACCAAATACCACGGATTGGGATGAATCAACTTCTCTAACTTGTGAAGGCTGAGAAGTCAAGGTCAAGTTGCCAGGCAGTTTAGTGTCAGTGAGGCTGATTCTTCTTCTGGGATGGTGCGTTGTCCCCCAGAGAGGACCAAATCTGTCTCAGGGGGCTAGAGGAGACAAAAGAGGCTCCTCCCACAGCTGTTGTATGATACTAATCCTACTGGTGAGGACTCTGCCATGTCCTTACTTACCACTGAAAGGCCTCACTTCTTAATACGGACACAGTGGGGTTTGGGCCCAGTTTTTAGGGCACTTTCGTGTGTGGGTATAGAATGGGATTCTTGCGCCATCTCTGCTCAGAGGAAGGGTTCAGGGGTTACATACTCAGGGTATTTCAGCTATCCAGAGCATCTCTCTAGCTTGATTTTTGCAGAGTAATCTTGTAGGAGAAGGGGTGGCTCCAGTTGCTATGTGATGATTCTTTTGAATGTTAGAGGGAGCCAGTCAGAGCTGGAAGCATCGTGGCTGAACACACTGGGAGGCACTCCTCCCTGAGATGTACCTGCACCTTTATAAACGCCTGTCTGTTTGTCTTTGCAGGTACTACGGATTATCTGTGTGGTTCCCTGATGTCATTAAACATCTTCAGTCTGATGAATATGCACTGCTAACTAGAAATGTGCAAAAAGATAAATATGCAAATTTCAGTATTAACTTTACGATGGAAAACCAGATTCATACTGGAATGGAGTACGACAACGGCAGGTCTAGAACCTTTGAAATAATTAATTTGCTACCTAGTCACGAAATCCAATTTCTGATTAGTACTCACAATACTAAAAACCTGTGGGGTTTGTCCTTTAATTTTCACACTTAGTCATTTTCAGGCTAAATGAGAATACTTTCAAATGGGCGCTGAAGATGCCTGCGTATCAGTTACTTGACTTAAAGCCTCTTCTGAAACCAGGGACTAAATCCAAAATGTGGTTTGCTGAGCCTCCCATTCCTCAGCAAGACATTGCTGTTCTGAACGCTGCCCTGTGCTGGCCATTAGGGGAGCTTGATTGTATCAGGGCGGGTTTTCATTAGAGAAAGAAGTGACTCCTTGAGTTAAGAGCTTTAAAAACACCACAGTGTCAGCAAGGGAAGCTGGACTCGGAGAAGTAGTCCACATGCTTTGTGGCATACAGATCTATTTACGGGCCATCTGAGAAAGCTGGTACTGGTGTGAGCTCGGGATCGCTTATATTACTAGGAAATGGCCCGAACTTCAAAATGACGAAAGTGAAATCCAAAGTAATTGAATAAAGTTTCCCAAAGCAGAAACCTGTTTGAAAAGGTGAAAAAGAACTCCATGGGATAAAAGGAGAGTTACTGACTGGGCTGTCACTCTTCTGGTTAGTGACTCAGTGAGGGCCCTGAGCATAGTTGAAACCAGGTAGGAAGAGCTTCCCTCTCCCACTGACATCCTCAACTAGTAATTTACAAAAACCTTACCATGAAGTGCTGTAATTTGCTCTGTAATTCTTGAGTGAAATTTTATTTTAAAAGATACTGCTAATCCCTTAGATATTTCTAAGATATGTTTGTGTCTTACTCACAGTTTTGATAATTTGTTAAAGTTCTAAACTGAATAGTCAGTGATCACTTGGAATTGTTTTTACCTTAGCAGTGCTGTGATGAATAATTTTAATAGGACTGCATTGAAATCCTTGTAAAATATATATTGAATATTTTACTTCTTAGATAATGGGAAAAAAGATTCTGTGTTTCAGGGAAATTTGAAGTGCTATAGGCTGACTCCTTTGTTTAAAACTAGCTTCCCCACTCCAACAGTGCAAAGACAGCCTGCTGGGCTGAGGCTGAAGCTGATGCTGATGCAGGAGACACCCCCAGGCAGGCCACAGAGACGGGAGCCAGGAAGCCAGCCAGCTCTCAGGGGACAGGGAAACTGAGTGGTTCGGGGCACCGCTTCTTTCTTCAATCTTTTGAGCTTTGTACCATGCATGTGTATTGCCCATTCAAAACTACAACTCCCTCGATTTAAAACAGAAGGAAAAAACTAAAATTACCTCCCTTTTCAAAATTCAGTCCCATTTCCAAAAAAAAAAAAAACCCTAGTCTTCTTAAAATGGGCCCTGTTCTAGCCTCCTTTAGTGCATTTCCATGGTCTTATCCTGAAGCCCCAAAGTCGAAACTGAGACAAGAGGACCATTTTAGGCTGGTTGGCTTTTGAGGCCTCAGGCCACTTTCACTGAGGAGTGCAGTCAGAGCTGTAAGCCTTTAGGAACCCAGTGGTTAGTGGATCTCTTTGAAGTCCGCTCTCCTGCCTAGAAAGATCAGTCCCATTCTGTCCCTAGTGAGTATGGCATTAGGGTAACTCCACAGGTGAGGAAGCATTTCCTTCTGGGTACTGCTAAGGATCCACTCCCACATCCCTGTGGTGTATGAAAGCTCATTCACGCATATGTACCCACGCCACAGGCCTTTCCAGTGTGGAGCCACAGCCTCTCCTGAGATGCTACAGCACCTACGACCCTCTCTTGTAATGCTCTGAAATGCACTCCCACAGCTTTCATCATGCTACACATTTCCAAAGATAAACAGGACTCTTGTAGTTCTCTTTGTCTCAGGCAATATCTGAAGGCCAGGTGTGGTGGCGCACTCCTGAAATCCCAACACTTGGGAGGGTGAGACAGGAGGATCATTGTGAGTTTGAGGCCAACTTGAGTTACAAAGTGAGTTCAAGGCCAGCCTTGAAGTGCATAGTGAAACTCTGTCTCCAGAAGACAAAAAACCAAAACAAAACAAACAAAATTCAAGCAATGTTTGCTGGCACAGAAATGAAATATTCCTGGAAATTAGTGTAACCTATGTCTTTCCCAACAGAAGCAGTCAGTCCTCACATAAATAAAGCCCTCTCTTCAAGATCGCTGGAATTACCTACCTTCCAGAGAAGATAGGCTACAGACTCATGGAAAGATCAGGGGGCTGAGGGTGTGGTTCAGCAGCAGAGCAGTTGCCAGGCCTGTGCGAGGCTCTAGGTTCCATCCCCACACTGGAGAAAACTATCCTCAAATTATAGCCACTCACCACAGATAGAGTATTTTCAGATGAGGGTATATGGAAGCTCCATGGGGTAGGACTGAAAGATAAGCAGCCACAGGGAACCCTCATTCTCCCTACCTCAGGTTACATAGCCCCCAAAATCTTTTATCAATGTGGCAGGAGCTTAAGGGTTAAACTTTCCTGGTGGCAAATAATTCTGAGCCACAAGGCAGCCAAAGGACAGGATGTGCAAGGTAAAAGCCTGCGTTCTTTGTAGTTAGGAAAGTCCACAGAACGGCACCACATCTCTGAGCCCGTGTGACAGCTTTGAACTCTAATGAACACAAGTTATTCACATGAATGTTATATGTGTGTTGGACAGATTCCTAGGGGTCAAGTTCAAATCCGTAACGTTCAAAGATTCAGTGTTTAAATCCTGTACGTTTGAGGATGTGACTTCAGTCAACACCTACTTCAAGAACTGCACATTCATTGATACTGTTTTTGACAACACAGGTAGGTATGCTGTGCAGTACTGCCTCAGGCTGGGGTCTCATGAGAGGGCCCCAGAAATATGAATACCATGTGACAGTGTGGCCAGAAGCTTGTGCAATGTGAAAATTAAAGTGTAAATGAGCCAGGCACGGTGGTACATGTCTGGAATCCCAGCACTTGGGAGCTGGGATCACAGCATGGACTGTATAGTGAGTTCACGGCCAGCCTGAACTGCAGAGTGAGACCCTGTTTCAGAAAAACAAAAATAAATAAAGTTTAAATGAACAAGCTAAGCCAGGAGGATGCAAATTCGAGTCTGGACTAGGCAACTTAAAGAGTTTGTCTCGAAAAAGAAGAAGGCCTGAGGATGTGGTTCAGTGCTAATGCCCAAGGTTTCATCCCCAGCACTGAAAAAAAAAAAAAAAAGAAAGAAAGAAAGAAAGAAGGAAAGAAAAGAAAGGAAATAAACCTAATATGTTCTCTGAATCAGGTTGCATCAAAGATAAGTTTATTGTTTTTCTTTGTTAGATTGAAATGCAAGTGGTGCTTGCCTGAGTTAAAAGTTAAAACAACAACAAACATATTAAGATCTTCTGGCATATTTTCACCTGTAGTTTTGTAACTGCCAGTGTAAAATAGGACTCTAAACTTTTTTTTTGTTGAGTATATAGCAACACCCCCCTGAGATGTAGATATCAGCCCCAAGAGGCTAGGAGCCCGATTTGTTTGTTGTAAGAAAAAGGAGGAGCTAAAGATAGTTGAAAGTACAAAGATCTATACTATCTCATTGTTTTTCCTCTTTTTTGTGTTTTATTATTAAAAAAAAAAAAAAAACCCCATGGCTGGTAATATATAGGGAGACGGTGACTTGAGACTACAGCGTTCCTTTATCTTGTTAGAGTGAGCTTTGAATATTTTTTATATAAATATACAGTCTTTTTGATTTGGTTAGCAACAAGCAGACAAACCTGAGCGTAGGAGCCGAAGTGGCCGGCAGCCACTGTGGTAACAGTGAAGGACTTCAGTCACAAAGTGAGATGGTGATTTGAGGCTAATGGGGCCGTCCCTCTTCCCAGGGAAGCTTTAAATAAATCTTTTTTTCCTTTTTATCCAAACACATGACTTCCTTTCATTTGGCCAGCAGACCAGCCCCAGCTTCTGAGCCTAAGCGCCTGGTAACTGTCTTGAGAAACCTGGCTCCAAAAGCTGGGCTTGCAGAAGCCAAGCCTGGCATATAGCACAGTGGACAGCTGCAGAGATGACAGCCTACCTGGCCTGGGCTCTGTTTCAATTTAACCCATAGTCCAGAGCCCGGAAGCGGGCAGGGACACAGTGAAGCCGATGTCAATGGAGCGGCTCCTCTATGCTGTTCCCCGAGGAGTCAGACAACACTGTCTCACGTTGCTCTCACAACTGCACAGGTGTAGAAAACTGCAATCCTTGGCCGCAGTCACAGGACCATAAGAGTAGAGCTGATGTTTGAAGCCAGTTTGTCTGACGTTCATACCCTCCCTTCACATGCACACATGTGCACGAACACACACACACACACACACACACACACACACACACACGCAGACAGACATTGGTGCAGTGAACTCGGTCCAGGATAGAACCCTGGTGCTGCAGGTGGGTCAGCGTCTATCCAGGGTGGCAGCCCCTTCATCATTTACTTAGACAGGAGCTAACCCCTCTCAGCTTCAATTGGCAATGAGGTCCAGTGCCTTTGATTTGTTTGTTTCTTTTTATTTTTTTGTTTTTGTTCTTGTTTGAAACAGAGTCTCATTGTGTAGTTCAGGGTGGACTTGAACTCACTGTGTAGCCCAGAATGGCCTCAAACACAGTGAACCTCCTGCCTCAGCCTCCTGAGCTGTGGGATTATGGCCTTGATGTTTTTGATTTTAAACAGTGCTATGTAGCCAAATGTGGTGGTACATTCTTGTAATTCCAGCATTCTGGGAGGCTGAGACAGGATCGCAAGTTGAGCCTAGCCTTAGCAACTTACTGGTTTAGTCAGACCCTTTCTGAAAGATAGATAGATACATAGATAGATAGATAGATAGATAGATAGATAGATAGATAGATAAAGTAAATGGACTGGGGTATAACTCAGTGTAAAGGTCCTTGGTTCAATCCCAGTGGCCCAAAACAAAACAAACATAAACAGTGCTAACCTTCATCCAGCTTCTAACTTACTCAGCCTTAGAAAACCACTTTCTTTTAGGCAGATCTTGATTGACAGGGAAATTAAAAACTTTAATTCTCACCGGCTTGATTGACAGGGAGATTAAAAACTTTAATTCTCACCGGCTCTTGACAGCCCTCGTGCAGATTCAAGTTCAAGAAAAAAATTCCCCAACAATAAGAGCTAGAGACTTTCAGGATGAGGCTGACCTTGTTCCCCAGTGGGTTCATCCACATGGCCCCTAAATTACAAACTCGGCCTCCAGGAACCAAGGAAGTCCTGCTTCTTCTCTAGCAGCAATAAGGTCAATGTGTGAGTCCTTTAGAACAAATTGCTTTGACAAGTGTAGTGTGGATGCTATTACATTATAATGATGACCTTCATAGCAACATTGTAAAAGTGTAAGCCAGTAAAATAATTAGTAGTGGCCAACCATGGGACATCAGAAGACTAATGACCTCTTCAACTTCATTTATTACTTCATTCAATAAAGTTATCCCTGCCAAGTGTGGTGGCACAGGCCTGTAATCCCAGCACTCAGGAGGCTGAGGCAGGAGAATGGTAGTGAGTTTGAGGCCAGCCTGGGCTACATAGTAAGTTCAAAGTTAGCCTAAACTACGTAGTAAGACCCTCAAACAACAAAAACAAAAATAAAAAGCCTTTCCTTCTGCTACTTTATACCATGAAGTGCAGAATAGCCCAAGCCCTGAGGTTGCTGAGGAATTCACCATGAGGCCCTCCTGGGTTTGGTAGGTTTTGATTCTGAGACCCGCCACTTACACCTGCTAAGAGCTCAATGAATGCTCTTTGTTGCTGTTCCTCCAGATTTTGAGCCATACAAATTCATTGACAGTGACTTTCAGAACTGCTCCTTTTTTCACAACAAGACGGGGTGCCAGATTACCTTTGACGACGACTACAGTGCCTACTGGATCTACTTCGTCAACTTCCTGGGGACGCTGGCTGTGTTGCCAGGGAACATCGTGTCTGCCCTGTTGATGGACAGGATCGGGCGCTTGACCATGCTGGGTACGTGCTGGCCCTGGGAGGGGAGTGAGCTGCTCGTGCCTGCTCCCGGGCTCTCTGTCCCCCAAAAGCGTGGCCCAGAAGCACAGGTCCCTTAGACCTTCCACTTGGACTAAACTCAAATCAAGTGTGCAGTTTCCGTGATCTGACGGACTGAAGAGCTAATCGGGCATGACTGATGTCAGTCTGTCCACTTACATGACTGAGTAGTAGACTCTGCACTGCCCACTTGCTGTGTCAGAAGCCCACAGCAAGCTGTTCCCAGTGAATGCACTGCAGCTGCCGTTGCTCCATGAAGTCTGCTGTGAGCCCTCAAAGGCCCAAGGGGCCTCCCTCCCTAGGAATACTAAAGACACTCACTCCTGTCCTTGTCCTTGGCAGGTGGCTCAATGGTCCTCTCAGGCATCAGCTGCTTCTTCCTGTGGTTCGGCACCAGCGAGTCCATGATGATCGGCATGCTGTGCCTGTACAACGGGCTGACCATCTCGGCCTGGAACTCCCTCGATGTGGTCACTGTGGAGCTGTACCCCACAGACCGGAGGTGCGTGACCTGGGCCCTGGGACAGAGGTCCCTCAAGCCCCGTGGGTTGGCTGGGGAAAAAAAAAATCATGAGAAACAAGCCAGTTCCCACTCCCCCCAAGAAAGTGAAAATCTGGAACATTGTAGCTTATGAATTTGTAAGTTCTACACGTATCTTTTAAGACAGAATGCAGGAGATTTAGCTCATCACAGGAATTGATGGGGCAGTGAAGTGTGGCCAGAAATGTAACTGTGCCCTGACGTAATGCAATGACCAGTGGTATAAGCAGGCTGCCTCCACTCAGTGAGGGAACATCGGGGGCTGCCCTGGCTGCATGGTGGATGAGCTGGCACCTTACACTTACAGGTTGCCATGCTCATCTGCACCCAGCAGCATCAAGAGGTCTCTGGATCGTGGCTCCTGACCTTCTGATCTGTGGGAGGAAAGCCCAACACATTTCTAATTCCAATCAAGTAACCACAAAAAAAGACTGCTAGTGAGGAAAAATGGGAACACAGAGACTTTACACCTCATGTCCAGCAAAGGGCTAAAGGATGGGACTTTCGGAGCTGTTGAATAAGGAAGGTTAAAAAAAATAGAAACCCCAGAGACTCTTGCCCTCAGAAATAGGTCAGGCTGTGGTCAAAACATAATGTAAGCAATGTGCAAAACATTCAGGAGATAGATATTGTGCAGTATGTGAAAATATTCACAGTGACAAGAAACACTACATATGTAAGTCTATTCAGAAAACCCTTGGAAAAAGTCATGTAGAGGAGACTATAGAAAAACAAAAATTTCTATGTCAGTGTTTGCTCATATACTTTTCAAAAATACACTTCCTGATGGAGATACCCTATAGGATTTTTATTGTGTATTTTCCACAAAACTATGCATAAGTATCTAATCTACATCAATGATCTTTGTTATTAATAAATCACACTTACACACAAAAATAGAAACCCTACTTTGCCATGTGTCATTAGCTGAGACAAATGCCCTTTGCCTCCTCTTATTTCATGTAAAATTAGTGCTTTGTCGCTGTGGAAGTTCTCAGTGTTGGAGGATTCTATAGACTTTATAATGAAAGAAAACAAACAAACAAAAAAAGATATGGTAGTGCACGCCTGTAATCGCAGCACAGTGGGCTGAGGTAGGAGGATTGCTGTGAGTTCAAGGCCAGTCTGGGTTACACAGTGAGACTTAGTCTCAGAAACAAATACATAAATAAATAAAATGAAGGAGGATTTTTTCCCTAGGCGTATGCTGAGATTTTGGGCTAATAATTTGTTACTGCTGCTGAGTCTTCACTCCAGGCTCATTTCTTTTGTTCGGCCACAATGGGCCACACTTTTTGCATGACTAGACTCCAAACTATATTTGTTTCTCAGGAACATCTTTTGCCAAGCACAAGGGGACACCACTGATATTTATATGTGCATCTTCTTGTAACAAAACCGAAACTCAGGAATCCTGCATGTCTGTCAAATATTTTAATTCAGAGCCTCAGTGAACTCTCGGTACCTACTTGGACTCCGAAGAAGTTACAAGACCTAAGCATAGCATTTATCCTTCATCGCCACCCTGGGGTGGGTACCACAGGCTTTGGACTAAGGGTGCTACCAAAAGCAGGCCTGTAGCCTTCCTTGGGCTTTCTCTCACCAACCTCTCATTGTGGAAACAAGGGCCCACGGATGTGAATTAAGCTATCGCCGTAGTCAGTTTTCCATCACTGTGACTTACAGGAGTCACTTACATCACTTCTAGGAGAAGGTTATTTGGCTTATGGTTTCAGAGATTGCAGTCTATGGTAGGCTGGCCCTGTCATTCTGGGCCTACGGTAAGGCAGCACATCATGGTGGGGAATGTGTCATGGAGCAAGCCACTCAGCCTGTGATGGCTGGAAGTAGAGAGAGAGAGAAAGAACTTGCTTTTGTAGCCTATCCTCTCTGCCAAGAACAGTGACCACAGCCACACACTAAAGACCCACCTCTGAACACTGGTCTACTGCAGAACAAGACTTCAGCACAAGGTTGTGGAGAACATATGAAATCCAAACCACAACCACATTTAGAAAGAAAGAAAAAAAAGCTCCATGGTACCCTGAGGCAGCCAGAGCCTCCTTTCTTTTCGTTTCCAGTAACACACACACAAATACACACATATACACACTATCATATAAGGTGCAAAACATTCAAAGACTTGGTGGGTTGTTGTGGTTTTTGTTTTCTCACCAGAGCTAACAGTAAAAGTCAGTATCATATGGTGTGGTCAGGGTGAGGGAAAGATGTGGCGCCCTGAAGGCATCTGAATACTAGAAAGGGCTTCTTGGTGCAGTGGGGAGAGGAGTGTTCAGGGCAGCTTCCTGACCCCTGAAAGGATGAGTTTGCCTTTACTGAAATGGGAATGGTTTTGGCAAGAGGAAATTAAGGAAAAAGAAACAGGAACTCAGTGTTGTTCACATGACATTCAAGGTGCTATTAAATACCCAAGTGAAAGTGCATTGCATCCCGACCATCATGCAGAAGAGAAATGTAGGTGGGAAGGAAAGCACTGAGCTCTTTCAGGGCACAGATGCAGTTTAAAACTGTAGTGGGTGGGAACACCAAAGTGGAGGTGGACAGAGGGGAAGGAGGTCCTGGCCACTTGGCCCTGAGGCCCTAGAAGCCTCCAGAGATAAACAGGAATCAGCAAAGGAAATTGGAAAGTGACCTTGATGAGGTAAAAAGAAAAATGAAGATTTTTAGGTCCCAAAACCAAGTGAAGGAAGTAGTTTAGGATGGGGCTGGCATGCAGATTAGTAACAGAACAATTGTCTGACTCGCTTGTGGCCCTGGGTTTGATCTCAGCACCACAAAAAAAAAAAAGAAAGAAAGAACGAAAGAAAGGAAGGAAGGAAGGAAGGAAGGAAGGAAGGAAGGAAGGAAGAAAGGAAGGAAAGAAACAAGACAGTCCTTTAGGAAGCAGGGATAACCAGATGTGATAGATATAAGGACAGGTCAGAAAGATGAGGGTGGGGAATGTGCTACTGTACTAGACCTAGAAGTTAAGGCAGAAAACCTTTACCCTGGGGTACAAATAGGTGCTCATTGGCATCAAGCCAAGGCCTGTGGCCTCAAGTCTCAGTCAAAGGGACAGCAGGTCCTGAAATTGGCCCAACTTTGACAATCAGCCACCTCATCTTTCCCTGGCAGGGGTTTGAGTTGCCTCCTGAGCCCCTAGCTGGTTAAATTTGCAGATCAGAGATAAGCAGCCCTGGCTATAAGGATAGGAGGTCTGTGGGGCAGTCAAGCATGGCATACAGATGCAGAGTGAAGACAGACAGCTGCCTTTTGTTCTTTTGCACTCCTGTGTCACCACTTTCCCAGAAACAGTGCTCATGGCATGATTCCAAAATCACTCTGTATCTTAGAGAGACCTGAGAGAGTTCAAATCAAGGGGAATCGAGAATGAAGTCCCATGTGGAAATAATGTGTTGGAGGAGACAGAAGGTTGAGTCTGGACATGAGTTTCCCAGGTTAAAAAAACTCAGATCTGAACTAAGGAAATCTGGACACCTAGATTAGGATCCCATGCTAGGACACAAAGATTCACAGGTCTAGAATCTCAGGTTGGGTGAGAGAGAATAAAAAGCCTGGCTTTACACAAGGACCAAAGTAATAAGATGTAATCTGCAGAAACAGGGCTCTCACAGAGGCAAGGTCAAGCAAGTTAGTTTGGCAGTAATGGCTGGTAGCTCGTCCTCCATATCCTCCTTTGGCCCCAGTTCCCAAGGCCGGAAAGTAGCCTAGGGTGGAGGTGAGAAGTCAGGACTAATTTTGGTGGCATCACAGAAAAGAAGGGACCCTGTGCACATGCACTCTCCGAGGCCACCACTTCCATCTTGATCCTGAGTTTTCCTCCCAGCTGTGGTCACAGTTGGGAACCTCACCTAAGGCCAGCTTCCCAGTGACCTGGAGTGATGTCTGCCATGACTGAGATGCTGCAGTCTATGCAGTGCCCTCCTTGCTCGGATGCATGATTCTCAGAGTTGGCCTTAAAGGAGCACAAAAGGTCTGAGATCCTGCAGGGATCTTCTGGCTGAGGCAGAAGCCAGTAGTTGGGTCAGACATGTGTCCTAGACTGAGAGACTGGGAAGGCAGAATTGGTTTTGAGACACATTCCAAGGAAAGAAACAAAAGAGGAGGGACAAAAATGATAATCTCTAAAAGTTCAGGAACTACTGAATAGTAAAGTCATTGTTTAGTATTTTCACAATTTTGACATCATCCCTAGACACTGAGCTCTTCCCATGCCAAAAGAAAAAAACAAGAAAGAAAGCAGCCTGTAGATGCAAGGTAGACCATGAGGGCCTTCTGTTTGGTGGGAAATACAAGTCTGAAAGCAAAGCCCTGCCATTGAACACTGGCCAGTGCTGCTTTCTCCTGTTTTTCCTCCATTCCAGAGCCCCCTTCCCATCTTTTTTTGGCCCCTTTGTGACTGGTGCTGCAGAGGCCACCAGAAGAGGCATGGCCACTGTCTGAGCCTGGCCTGGATCAGAGCACTACCCCTAACTCGCGTACAGGGGTTCCTATTTTAATTTGGAAAAATGGGAAAAAATTTCTCTCTTCCCTTGGAATCTCCAGTGTAAATGCAAGGATGGGTTCCGCGGGATTTACCACTGCTCTCTGTCCGCTGTCTTTCCCCCTTCTTGGCGGATGCTGTAACCTCTAGAAGTCCTGGGGTGGCCGAGCTGCACAGGCCTTACCCTGGGCTAGGTGCTGGAGGCTTGGCCTTCCGTCCAGGAAGAGGCTGCTGCCACCGTGCGGCCGCCGCGGGCTCCCACCCTGGCTTCGGCCATCCCGAGTCCGGGAAGCCTCCCTCAAAGTGCGCCGCAGCCGCCCAGCCTCTGTGCTTCCAGCGCCCTGCTGGGGTCACAGTTCAGCGGGAGTCAGCAAGAATCTGAAAGCAAACCTTGATGGTCCACAGGCAGCGGCTGGAGGTTTCCGCACCCGCTGCGTCGCAGCACTGTCCCCACCAC